TTATTAAAAACTGGATCATTGGATAATGCAATTCAAGACTTTTTATTGGCTTAGCCATTATGGTATATCAGCCAATATACCATAATCTACAAATATGGTAAGCGTACGCGTCAGCTTAAAATCAAAAGGGAGCTAAAAAATCCAGTTTCTTCTTACAAAATAATAATTTCTTGGGGGCGTTTTTAATAAAACAATTATTCCACTCGCGCTTGTTGGATATGAGATGATTATAGCCAACTCGGCGCTACGCGCCTCGTTGGCTATCTATCATCTCATATCCAACGCGCGCTCGTGGAATAATTGTTAAGTACACAAATCCCGATGGCAGTTTGGTTGATTTCGTCTGATAGAATAAGAGGTTGGCGCGAATTTTCTGAACCAATCACAGAGCGAAATAAAGCAAACCAAAATTAATACTCGGATGACTTCGACACACAACTGAGAATTGCTCTAACATCAACAAAATATACTATGATGTTTTTTAGTCACATAATTTAAATCACTTATTGGTTTGGAGAGGTTTAAGTTGATCAATCTACGGCCAAAATTCCGCCTCACGTCGGTGCCTTAAAACTTTGAAATAGTGCAGAATTAAATTTGGGATCAAATGCCTCTCTTTCGTCATATTGTATGTTATTCTCCACTAGATGGCTCTCAATCTTGGTGAAGAAGGCTTTGCTTCCTGTGGAAGCGATGGCCTTGTTGTTTTGTGGAAGGTATGTAGCATTTTCCCCGATAACAAAGTTTCTAAATAAATTCCCCTCAAACTGTGCATGTACATACACAAACAAGACGACCGTTTTTACTTTGTGGCCAGAGCTCTTTAGTGAGGTAACTCGTCATTTTCTGGAAAAAGATATTGAAGAGAACCATCAGACTTTTTTCTTCTTATTGAGCTTTAATTGATTCATTCTACTTTCAAATTAAAGAAAGACTGTTACCCAGAATTCGAAATGATCGCTAAATTCACAAGTACATAACTGTAGGGAGTGTTTGATAACGCAGTCAAGATTTAAGTTTCTTCGAGGCGAACAACCATATCTCGGGGGTTCTGCAATTTTTAGAGAATTTCACGATAACAGCGTTCTCAGCATGTGAAAGAACCGTATATCTCTTACTTTTTCTCAGCATGTGGTAGACCTGGATATCTCTTACTTTTTCTCAGCATGTGGTAGACCTGGATATCTCTTACTTTTTCTTACAGGACAGTGAACTGGAGAAGAAGAGAAGGAATGAAATAGTTCGACATATCTTGTTATCGATCGATGACACAAGATGAAGTAGGGACATTGTTTGTCGCTTATTGGGACTCTGAATTCACTCGACATGCCCATAACCTTACTGACTCTTACATTTCCATCAGATGGTTGTATCATCATCAAGGTTATAGGACGCGGACAGCAATCGGCAAGAGAATGCCCTGCTCTTTGCGCCCTTTTCCACCAATCAGTAGAAAACCACTGTGTGAACATTTCAAATCAAGCACTTGACGGAAAATCCTCAAAGATTTAAGATTTGAAACAAGGTATAGAGAAATGAATACTCTCCTGTCAAAAATGGCTGCGATGAAGCTTTGATTTGAGGGTGCTCCAGTGTGTTTTGCCTACACCGGAAATTAAACAATTATTATGAATTCTAATGACCAAAACAATCGATTAGTTTTATATTAAAAAAGTTGGACTTATATGCTCAGATATCGTAAAGAAATATTGTTTTGAAATAAAAAAAAGTACGTAATTTTAATATATACCATGAAAGGAATTATTAATTTGTATGAAACAAGACAAAACGTTGGGACAGATTAGGAGCCTCGTTGTTCAGGCCTTGGGATGTGTACACTCCACACAAGTGATTAAGTTTGTCTTTCCAAGGTGTGGAGTTTTTCTGGGCTAGCCTCGATCTGAGTGAGAGCAGTATGTTTGCGGACAGCAACGGGATTTTGTCTATCAAATCGAAGTAGAAAAGGAGTGAAAAATACTATTCCGTGGGTGAGGAATCAAAATTTGCAGCCAAAACAAATATTCTGCAATACTAGGAGCGGAAGAGTACAACTGATGTGACATTGCGTTCTTTTTCTCTAGAGCAATGTAAACACAGTGGCACAGGTATAAGATTGTTTAACATCAAACAAAAGGACAACGAAACTATAACAATTTGTTTTGTTTTATGTGATTTGTTTCCTTTTTACAAACCTAAAGTTCTGCAATACCATCTCGTCGTACAGTTGTGAATTTGCGTGCACTATAGTTCTGCTCTACCGTCGACGGCTGCAAATATCTCTACAAGATATGTACATAACGCCTCGCCAAACGAAGACACAATCTGTGGAGTAGCTTGCTCTTTCAAAAGTATTTCGATTGTCTTTTTCTTTGCAGTAAGGCTGATGATTGCACACTCAACAGATTTTAAAAGTCTTTTTTCTCTCTCGCGGATCCTCAAATCTCCTTGAATAGCCACCTAAAGGCTGTCGGTATGTCCAAGCGTGGACTTGGGGCAAATCTCAGCCATTTAGTGAAACCTCTCCTCGTGGTTATGCGTGGTTCGAAACTACATAAACTTTTCTCCATTTTTGTAGTCATCTCAGGGCGCAAATAAACCTCGTGAAGGAATGAATCGCAAACCACAAACAAGTGTACTACAAACGTTCAAAAAATGTCTTTGTACAAAAACTATCCAATATCCAAATTTCTTCTACCCGTGGTCTGTCGTCTGCAAAGAAATTAAAATGATTAAGCTCTTGCCTCAAATCGCGCCCTGCTCCTTGCGGTTAGTGGTGCTTTAGTCGACGGTCTTAGTTTAGCCAGCCAAGAATTAAGATTATTGGCGAGTAGTGTAGGATTTTTTATCACTTGCACAGACTTGCGCAAAGATTTGACAACATCACGTCAGTACCTAATCGAGGAATTGTCATCGCCACGTGAGAAAAAAATTAGCCTTCGTGTAAATTAAAAATACATAGAACACAAAAAGTAATCTGAAGGACAAATTTCAAATTCTCCATTTACAAATTAGCATAGCCAGTTTGGGTATTTTGTCAGGTCTGAGTCCAAATGTAACAGGCTCCGTAAGTACCAGTAACGAAATTCAAAACCACATCAATGGCCCCTAACGGCTCTACCTCATACTCACTGAAACACATAAGATGGATTTCCCTTTAAGATACTTGTTTTAATTGTCTCGGTTATCACCTCATAAACTATACTAATTGAACAATTTTTTTCCACCTGGATACTCGGTTGTACCCATCCAACATGTGAGGACGAAAATTTCATCAAAGACTTCCACTGTAAGCAATTATTAAATTGAACATTGTCGTTTTCATTTCTTGGTATGAGAAATATTACGTCTGTACGCTAATTGAGGTCAATCTACCGATCCACAAGTAATTTCTCCTCCAAAACAATAGGTACAGTTTCCGATAGAAACAGGCACAGAAACAGACAGGTTCCCAAGAGCTGAGAATATCATCAAACTCAATTCAAATGGAAGTTGTTTTAAATTACAAAGGTTAGACTCAAGAAAAGTGATATATTTCCTTATGTCTAAGCGCAACCAATGGTGTTGTATCACAGAGCACTTCAAGTTTTCATCGCTCGTACGATGATTCATTTTTGGGTACCTGTTGAAAGCAGCTTTAAAAAAACCATTGATTCCATTTATAGACAAAAACATCCCAATAAAATGACTTCATCGTTCTCTTTACAAGCTTGTAATTTGCGAAAACTAATTTTTGGACCAAGAGCATTTTGACAGAAATTTCTCAGCCCTTACCTAGCAAGATTAATAAAATCCCACAGTTGAAAGATCTTTTGAGCCACCGAAGGCGGCCGGCCTCTCACCTGTACTTTTATGTCGAAAAGTAACAAAAGAAGTCCACTTACCCTGGATCTATGAGATATTGCTCGACTTGATGACTCCATTCACAATGCTTAAATCCCTTATTTGGACAACTTGCACAGGTCTACTGTCCTCACAGATGACATCTCCCATGTTATAGGCTGGGACGGCGGGAGCTGCCGGATAATATGGAACAAATTGTTTTTTGTCCTTTTGACTTTCTTTTGCTTCGCTCTCCCCCGAACTTTTATGATCATTTTCCTTATTTTCTGTTTTATCGTCAGTCTTTTTCTCACTTACATCTCTTCTATTTCTACATGGTCTTGGAGCCGGACTAACTTGGTACAGAATGAGAAGTAGGCACACGATCACGGCATATGTTCTCATGATTTTGGCGCGCCAACGAACCTTCCAACTGTGGAGGAAAGGACAAGTTACTCCAGTTTTAGTTTGACAGCTTCACTACACTACCCTTTTGCACAACCGAGCGAGGAAATGGAGAAATTCACATACTACTCCTCCTTGATCGATGTAGAGGAAAAGACACAACTGAAATTCACGGTTTAGTAAAGTAAATAATTAATAACGCTCAAACACGTATTTTATTGATAAGTGTTAGCTACGAAGTCCTACGGAGATCGTAGAAAATCTTCAAATTGCGCGAAAGCTGAGTGTCAGTTAAGCTAAAGGAAAACTTTTAATGGTTCGCATCTAACGTATAAACTTCAATAATTGAAATGATCATTATTTTCATACGGACCATAATATGGGATAATGTCACATTTCCCATTTGTGAAAAAGGTTGACGTCTTTAGTTTTAGTAGGTTATTTAAGGTGGAAAACGGGTACCGAACAATGGGCAATGAAGAAGGCGGAGTAAAAAGGCAAACTTGAAAAATATTTCAAAAAAACTCAAAAGACACGTTATGATGTAATTCATGGTTGCAATTCCACAGATCAAATATTCTGGACAGATTCACGCCTGTCATAAACTCGAACTGCGGAATCAATTGTCTACATCAATGATTTTATCGCCAGTAAGGTACCTTGTCAATAATTCCCGCTCTGTTCAATGAACCTCAAACGAACAAGAAACCATAAAATAACAGCATTGCTTGCTAGTTCTGTGACCGTTTTAATTGCATAAACAAAATCAAATCATCGACTGTGAAGCGGTTTCTTGCAAACTTGCTGTAAACTTTTGGACCGAGTTAATTTTAAACGGACACACAAACTTGCTCATCGGAGCTCTAAAACTAGCATCGAAGAGCGAAAAAATTTTATTACAGCAAAATGGCGTTAGGAATCGTTCGATTTTGAGGGAAAGCAAAGAAAGAAAGAAGAAAGAAAGAAGCTTTTCAATTTGTTCGATAGTTGTTCCCTTTAAATTGTAGGTCTAGTCAAACAATTTGTTGTCGTTAATTTCGAAAGAAATCACGATATTTCAGGTCTTTATCGAGCTAGAAGTCAAGGTAGCCACCCAAGTAATTTTCGTCCAAATGCTTAAAATTGTAGTTTTAAAATTTTCAAAGTGAATTCGGGTACCGTAAGGTTTCAATTCATTAGGTGGAAATTAAAAATCAAACAAAAGCGTAGGACTTACCTGCGACTCGGAGTCCCTCAAGAAAGTCAGTGAATATGATACCACGGTTATGCCTTTCAGCACCGCTTGTGATTGGTTGAGCGATGAACAAATCATCGAACCGTAACTAACAGTTACGCCATGGTTCGTTAAATTTAAAGAATGACATCAATAGTGTATTATTTTGCGCACAGCCTATCACCTGTTGCAACACCCCGCTGAAACGATCAACAACAAGACTTGTCCAGATCTTAATGAATCAAACCAACATTTTGTTTCGAAATGTTTTAGATTTGTAAATGATTATTTTATTTTAGAGTTCTTTGATTGTAACGTAGTTTTACTCGCTTTTGGGAGGAATCTATGAAGCAGGTCGTAAATAAGTAAAACTCTCAGATCATTGGTTCTCGTTTCTTTGCTTCCGTTGCAGTAAAGCGCGCGATGCGTTATTCGATATTATTTTTTTAAATACACAGTACTATCTTTTGTTGAAATTCAGGTTACGTAGAAAAATTGTTTGCGTAGCTAACACAATGTCGCGAAGTAACTCGCTGTCACCAGTACCACACAAATTAAGTTTTCAAAAAGGTGCTATTCCAGATGTTCTCATGCATGTGACAAATGCAATTCACAATTCTATGAGACAAGCGTAATCATATCTTTTTCTGTCTTTGTTTACATGGGACCAAACTGTTACGCTGACTTAGAGTATCAAGAATCAATTGAGTTTCTTGAACCTCTCCAATAGTCTTGCTAAGCTGAGTACTGGGCTTCCATATAGAAATATTTTGTCTGTCTTGTCACGGGAGTAGGATAAGGAAAAAAAATTGGAGCTCGGTGGTGGTGCATCGGAGCGCGAAAGAGAAGGGGAGGGTGGTGGGGCTAATAGATTTTTCAACTAGGGGAGGGTATGGTAAAGAGGGACAGCTTATGAGAGAGACTGCCAGGGTAAGCTTTTCTCTTTAATGCTTCGAGTCAGCAGCAGCAGTCGCAGAATAAAGGTATATTCCCATTTTCTGAGGATCTTCGCTTAGTTCAAGTTTCCTCAGTGCCTCTGTCACCATTACTACACATTGAGCTGTCAAGAAGGTGTCTTTTAAGATGTTCTAATACCAGTCGAAAATCTAGTCAAGTGACACAAGAAAGGGGTAGGGGGTACAGTAAAGAGGAAGAGCTCATGATAGAGATTGCCATGGTATGCTTTCTTTTCCCTTGTTTCGAGTCGGCAACGGCGAATGCAAGCAAAAGCTGTATTTTCGTTCTCATACAGTGTGAATAAGTCGAGTTACATCTCGCTAAGAATTTTTTTAGTATGCTACACATTGAAAGATTTTCAATTAACTCAAGTTACCTCAATACCTGTGTCATCTTTACTACAAATTGGGCTGTCAAAAAGGTGCGTCTTTAGATGTTTTAATACCAGTCGAAGGACTTCGCAAATGACAAGAAACAATTAGATAAGTCTGGGAAGAATGTCATTATACTTTGCCTGCGCGTTTTAGTTTTTGTTTTGTTTTGTTGTTCTAATTTTTATTTGCGATGATCAATATTTACTTACTAATTTTAAGCCTTTAGGAATTATAAATTATTTGGAGCTTCTCCACTTCCTCTTTCAAAACACGAGTTAGCACTGCCAGTCTAGGACTTGGCTAGTAAAACTTAGGCAGGTTTGCAGGCCAAGTAGGATTGAAGCCTGAAAAAAGTTGGCTTTCAGAATATATCAGGCCAGATGACTGATACTCGACTACCTTCGGACGTAGGATAACGAAACGCAGAAATCGTGTGATCATAGAGAGTCCCACTAAAGAGAAGGATTCTAAATGGTTTGAAGTAATTTAATCCATTAGGGTTAGCTACACCATAATTTTGTTTACTGTAATGAGATAAAATCGTGAGACGATCGCGTGGCCTGGTGACTAGTGCTGAACTCTGGATTGAAGGGACTGGGTTTGATCTCTAAGAGTGACTAGCGTCTTATTTTTCCTTACAATTGACTCGTAGTGTGTCTAAAAGGAAAGGTAATATTTCTACTCTGTTCATGCCTGGGAAAAGGACGGTGAATTCAATTAAACTGCATATTGCTGAGAAGGGAGCACTGTAACAAGTAAAATTCTGTAATGTCCTTTTATTTTAGATAAAATTTACTAGTACCACTAGGTTAAAAGTGATGTAGCCAGTAAAACAATCAGCATCCGGAGATCAAAGCCCGGGCCTTTAGGAGAAATATGAAAGATTAACAGATTATTACAAAATATACGAAACAAAGTTTCATAAAACAAATCCAAGAGTAGTGCTGCATCTCCGACTGGGGAGAGTCTAACACGAAAGGGGAGCGTCAAAATAAAGAGGAGAGGACGTCTCCATAGAGACAAAGGGCCTGGGGAGAGATTACAACTACAGTTTATTAATCTTAGAATGGACTCGACTCAGTAGTAACGGGTGAATGGTACACCGGTCCCGCTTTGCACTTAGGTCTACATAATATTGCTTTATCAATTCAATGATTAAAACTATGAAAAATGAAAAATTGAACTGTGAAAACGATTTGTAGCTTCGTTCGTCGTGGTTGTCGAAAAAGTGGCCAAGGCATTGGTGTAATGCCTCTAACCGGTCTTGGTGAGCGAGAAAAACTATAAAGTTGGTTTTGCATGAACATTTTCCAAGATAATCGTTTCGATTCCTCACTCCTTTCCAGTGGTCCAAGACCATAAGCTTGGCTCCCTGTCTCCAACCTAGTGTATACCTCCCGGTTAGCTCAATGGATAGAGCGCGGGACTGTTGTGCGGGAGGTCGAGGGTTCGAGCCCTGGCCGAACCAACACTCAAGGTCTTTAAATAATTAAGAAGAATATGCTACCTTTCTACAACATCAGGAAATGGTTAGATATTCTAGTCTTCTCGGATAGGGACGAATAAATGGAGGTCCCGTCTCCTGCAGGGTTAGGGGTAGGAGACGTTAATTTCCCACGCACGAGATTACTGTGTGATGGAAGTCCTCCCCTGGGGTGGGATGGGTGGATGTGTTAGAGCTTAAACCTCGTAGGGGACCCATGTCCTATTGTTTCTGCTCCAGTACTTGGTACAAATCA